GACTCAAATCGCCGGTGTTAGCGGCTAGTGGCTAGCTCATTTAGCGAGTGCCCAGTAGACTTGTGACAGACAGCGTTCTACTTATAAATGCAGTTTAATAGGCGAAATTCAATCGACGCATTTACCTTTGATGCTGACAGAATGATAATTTTACAGTTCCGATTCTTTTTTAACAAACCGGACTAACTCAAATATGCTGGATTTAGCAAGCAAAAACGCTACTGTAGTTGTGGCATCACATCCGTCGGGCAATATCGCTCAACATGGCAGCCCCCCCGAGATTGATGATTTATTCTGTTTCTTATTACGAATGCAGTATTACTCAAAGTACCATGTTTTGACAAGTGCAAGCACATGCAACGTATTCTTGGAAAAACGGGTTGCGTTCTCCTTTAAAGATTTTCTGTCACTCGAGAAAAGCAGCCGTGATTTTTACTCCAACCCCCCGACACACACACAATTTTCCTCATCGGTATTTTAGAGTCTCACCTCCATTCGTTTCCATTAGCCACAGAAATCAAGGGAGTGTGACTGCCCAGATTAAGTGGACCTCTTTCACTCGGCCAGTGATCATCTGTTAACCAGTGAGATCTAAGGTCACAGGAGACTTCTTGCCATACCACTGAAATGACACCAGCCAGCGCTGCTTGCTTCATACTTGACTCTCAAGAAGTATTTTGCCATTTTGCTTCCTTCTTGCCTCCCTTTATCCACCCTTCTTTTTCCTTTTTCTGTTAACCAGTGAGATCTAAGGTCACAGGAGACTCCTGCCATACCACTGAAATGACACCAGCCAGTGCTGCTTGCGTCATACTTGACTCTAAAAAAGTCTTTTGCCATTTTCCTTCCTTCTTGCCTCCCTTTATTCACCATTTTTTTTCCTTTATGTCAAATCTACCCAACTTTGTCTCACATCTTGCTCCATGTCTTTGCTATTCTTCGGCAAACCAAAAAAAAAGGACATCAAACACCGGTGAAAGGGTGGAAGGCCAATTCATTACCGACTCTGTGCGAAAAGCTCCACTGACACGGCGTAATTACCTGACAGGGGGATAAATTGGATTTTTGACCAGGAGTAAGGAGCCATTCCGGGTCCAAGGCTGCAGCGAGCAGCTTGGCTGAGAGGCTTAAGCCCTCATTCTTAACACCAAGAGGGAATACTCTGATGCACTCCACTTGTAACCAGCTGTCCCTGTGTGCTTGTGAAATTTTGGCCTGATGATTTGTAAAACTGATATCTAATAGGCTCAATCTGCGAACGATTTGATGAGCCATATAGATCCGCTTCCTGCACGGCTGAATGTGAAGTGCTGCAGCCTTTCACGCCAAGACGTAATGGGCCTGCTTCCCTGGCATGGGACCAGGTTACCCAGCATGGCACTGGCGAGCCGTAGATGGCTCATTCGACTTTTTTTTTCCCCGACTTCTTGCAGCCTGAAGTTTACATTTCGTCAGCTTGATAGTCAACTTCACGTACATGATTTAGCCACAGAATATTAAAGCTCGACCTCCAAAAGCACGCTGCTAACAAGCCCCATAGAAAGGAATGTGAAATGGGGTTTCCCCGACTTCTTGCAGCCTGAAGTTTACATTTCATCGGCTTGATAGTCAACTTCACGTCCATGATTTAGCCACACAATATCAAAGCTCGACCTCCAAAAGCACGCTGCTAACAAGCTCCATAGAAAGGAATGTGAAATGGGACACCCATCGTGAACAATCTGCTGGCCCTCACTTTGAGAACGTGATTAAATCATTCAGCCACGGTTTAATACCGGATATGCATGTGAGGCAAGACTTTCATATGAATATCACAATGTACTTTGTAAGTAGATATGTCCTCGCATCTTGATATATAGCATTCACGTCAGTTTCTCCGTAAAAAAACAAACAAACAAAAAAAAAACAGTGCAGCTGCAAGCTTGTACTCACAAATGTCTGACAGTTCTCATATGAATATCACAATGTACTTTGTAAGTAGATATGTCCTCACATCTTGATATATAGCATTCACGTCAGTTTCTCCGTAAAAAAAAAAACAAACAAAAAACAAACAGTGCAGCTGCAAGCTCGTACTCACAAATGTCTTACAGTATAAGGTCACACACTTTATGAAAGTGATTCTTATTTTAGTTCCCTAAACTTGAATTTAGGGCAAAGACTGAGGTGGTAAATGCACAAGAAGTGAACCGTCCAAATGTCCTTGCAAATGTCCAAGGCTGCAGTGCTATGTCATTGTTGCTGCGCAGTGTGCAGGTCGGTGTATGAGTTTTTTAAAATCTCTATATTTTTTTAGTTACACATAATCCACTTCTTTTCAGCGGATGTTGAAGAAGTGAACCGTCCAAATGTCCTTGCAAATGTCCAAGGCTGCAGTGCTATGTCATTGTTGCTGCGCAGTGTGCAGGTCGGTGTATGAGTTTTTTAAAATCTCGATATTTTTTTAGTTACACATAGGGAATCCACTTCTTTTCAGCGGATGTTGGTCATTGTCCCACAAAATCAACAAGTGGCTTTGTTAGTTTCCCACCTAAAAATAACTCAATGCAAATATCACCAACATATGCGTATTGATGGATTTCCATGTATTTATGTAAATCTGTGTGCTCTTGTTATTGAGCCGTTGTGTAGTCCATTAGTCTTCTGCTGCATTCCAGACTGCTGTGAATTTTGAAATACCCCACTCAAAATTTAGGCTGATCCAATCTCAAAGCATTGCAGTTGAAATGAAACAATACAGATGCCTGATGACCTCCAAATGTGTCTGGTTCTCATTTTCCGTTCGAGGCCGACTTTTTATGACGTGTTAACAACAAACCTGTGTTCTTTGTTCACTTAAAAACACCACCTTTACTAAATACCTTCACACAGAGATAATGTCGTGATCTTTGTTTGCACTGCTTCTCCACAGTTGTGGTATAGTCTGCGGTTTTGTTTACACCGCTTAATAGTACAATGCCAGGTAGAGTTACGTGTAACGCTAGTGAAGTTAATTATATTTGCTGTCATTAGAAATAAAATGCAGGTCGTTACTTGATTACAGTCCACTACACTGGCCCAATAAGCCAAAAACGATGAATGGCACCACTGTTGCTGTTCCCTTTCAGCAGTCAAGGCTGCTGACACCAGCTAAGCGACACGGGCTGCAGCATCTGTCCATCCATCTGTAGCAGAGCTCGGCAGAGGAGGGAGTAAATGGAGCGAAAGGAGGCGCAGATTGTGGTCTTTGCTCAGTGTCTATGTGCCAACAGGCCCAAAGCTTGAAGGGGGACGCCGGCAGAGATGTCCCGACCTCCGCGGCCTCGCTCACCACCATAACCAGCCGCAGCAGCACTACCAAGAGCAGCACCTTGACGCCCTGTCGCCTTAGAGGCCCCGCGCAGATGGACCTCCCGACCCCCATCACCAGTGCATCCAGCTCCATCACACCCTCCTCATCTGCAGCGGCCTCCTTCTTCATCAGGTGAGCACCTCCCCCATTCTGTCATCCAAATGTGGACCGACGAGATTAAGCTGATGTTTAAGGAAAATATGCATGGTGGACCCACATGCGTGCAAACCCCAGGTGTGTTGTGCGAGGAAGGGGAGATTCGCACAGACTCGCCGTGCCCTCACTTTAATGTGAGGGCACGGCTTCCAGGGCGATATTCTGGCCATGGTTGAATGACGACTGCATGCAGTCGTACACGCTCCATCGCAAATTTAAATGAACCTTCAGTTTACAGGCACCAGTGCCCATGAATGCATAATAGAATTACATAATTGAATATGAGGAGGGAGAGTCTCACGAAAAGGGGCTTAGGTTAAGCTCTGTATTGTTCTGAGGTATTTCATATTTCATTTCCAGTTTCTTTTCCAAATGTTTGCTAGCTTGCTCTTGGAATTGGAGCTTTGGCTGTTTATGTAGCTGTGCATCCCAGAGAAAGACTGGGATCTTTTGTTGCAACTGTCCTGGTGAATAGTTCCCCGTTCCAGGCAAGCGGATGGAGGGTGCAGACCCTGCAGTGTGCTATGTTGTCACTGACAGTTTCCTTGGCAGGTTGATCAGTGCATACATTCCCTGCCTCTTCTCTCTGAGGGGCGCTGTACTCATAATGAGTGTTTGCAATAGGGAAACCTGCTGAGAATGATGCATGGGGACTATTCAAGGTCTGCACCACATGAGGGAGACGAAACCAGTGATGGAACTGTGACAAGAAGCCCGTGGGAGATCATCGAGGGGGATTCGCTTTTTCTCCAGTAGGAATCCGAAGGAATCGTGTGGGGCCTTCAATTTGCAGGGGAATTCCAGGTCCACCGACTTCCCGTGCATCTCCCTTTCTGTGATAATAGGAAAGGCCGGGTGTCACACAGCGAGGTGTGACAAAGGGTGGATTCCTGACACTGATTTATATGTTGTCATATGTTTTCGTTGGAGCGAACCACACAAAGATTATGATCATGAGCAAGTGCAGGCCAGACAGTTTGGACCAAGGACAGGGAAAAGCAGAGGGCGAGGTGAATCTGTTTTTTCCGTTGCAGCAGGTCCTGGTGGGTAAGATGAGGTTACAGATGGAAGTACAATGAAAGGTCCCGCCTTTTATTTGATCCCAAAGATAATTTGCTTGGCAGGAATCTGGTGTTTAACTTGGCCCGAAGAAGTGTTACGATGCTATGAACAACATTCCACACATACAAAAAAGGGTGTTGGAGATGCATTGTGGTTGATTTGAAGCTTCCTGACCCTCTGCAGCTGTTGCTAACTACCAAAATATTATTGTAATCATTAGCTCCTTTTCGTTGTCGTAACATGCTAAACACTGATTAAAATGTAACTCCTCTGTGTTTTCACAATGATGAGAAACAAACAAAAAAAAAAACAATTCAAAGAAATTAGGGTCCTTTAGGTTTGAGACTTGATTGAGAAAAAAACCCTACATCTGATTAGCATTCTGTTTTGTTCTGGAAAGACACAATTAGTGGGATTTGTATGCAAATCCGCAGCACCGGGAAGGTGAAGCTGAATAATCAAACAGTTGCTGGTTCCTTGGACATTTGTTCAACATTCATCTACAACATTTCACTTGCAAATGAATTTTTCATCAGAATACCATTAGCTTCAGTTGGGCTGCTCTTGCTTTTGTCTCATATTAGCAAGAAACACACACTGAACATTGTTGGCTTTTTATTTGTCAACCTCTTCATGATGAAAAACCTTCATCTTAGTTAATGTGATTTTTACTTCAATTATAATAACCATCAATTTCTTGCACAATTTACTAACGTACACACTCTGTCGTCTTCGCCCCTATTGATGTTGGCTGGTTCGTATTTTAGAGAAATAAAATCTTGCTTTCAAGGCCTTTCCCTCCTCCCTAATAATTTTGCAAAGGGGCTTAAAAGCCAAGAAGACACAGGGTCAGTAATGACCAATTAGACTGCCTCGATGGTTGCATGGAGACGGGAAGAGTCAGGGGTCAAACGAGGATGCTGTCCACATCATTGTGTGTGTGTGTGTGTGTGTGTGTGTGTGTGTGTGTGTGTGTGTG